TTTCTAGAGCTGAACGGCCCATAGAATCCAGGCAGTTAACATTCAAAGGCGTTTCACCCTCCCTCTACAACTATTAGTTATTTGATATTATTTTAAAGTGTATTAGCGAACAAAGTAGATTTACCGTGAGTAGGCATTCTTGTAGTGTAGGTTTATCACCTCGTTCAGCTGCTTCCAGAAATCTGCAAATAAAGAATATGCAAATTATCGCGAGATCATTCAAGTCTATTCAAAAATGTCAAACTTTCGCTCTTGCGGCGAGATCATGTCATGAGTACGAATGTTCACAGCTGGAGGTGGCGGCATGTTACCGAGCGTATAGTTGCGCATCCGTGGACGCGGTGAGACGGAAACGCGCGATAGACGCCGAGCACCCGTGGTCAGCATCCTGAAGAAACCAAAAATAACGGATGAACAAAGTTTCCTAGATTTCACTTGAAATTTTCCCATGAGTTGGAATTATCGAAGGTAGGCGAAAGGAGCAAGAATCAGATAGAACAAATGCATGTACATGAGATTCTCTTCAATTGAAATCCAAGACAATCGTTTTTCATCGATTTTTGAGAAAAGTTTCCCTCGAGAGCATAAGTGTCTTGCAAGGGAAGCTCGGCTATTGTTCAAACTTCTAAAAAAACTTAGAAGGCAGAAAAAAAAACTGACTGCATGTAAAAAGGGGTAGGAAATATATTATTTCTCTGCAACGCTCTCAACACCAAGTTAGGTCGAGTGGAATCCCAATTTATAAACATAACATTTACATAATTCTACAACAGCAGTATATTTAATAGCAAACTCTTCTTTTGTAGGTTCCTATCTAGAAATGCACTTAAAAGATTGCACACAGCATGAGCGTTGAGTTTGAAAAGTTTTCTTTTGAAGCCTCCTGAGATTGAATGCACCCTATTGTGTTAAATATTCAATGAGGTTCCAAAAAGTATCGCATAAGGTGAGTGAGGAGAGATTTCCAGATGAAACTATGTGGCATTGTTTGCCTTCAAGTTCTCAAGTTTCTGTGTAGGTTCAATGATGACATGATTCTGCGTACATTCATGGCTTGCATCACCACGACTTGCACTTAACGCTCCTGATAAATGCAAAAACGCCTTAAAAATATCATGGAAGCTAACGAACAACAGTGGATTTTTTTCTACACGTTAAGCTAAGCATTTTAACCAAATTCAATATAAATAATTTGCTAATTTCTATCTTGTGTTACATACAACCTTCTCAATCTTTTACAAAATACTTGCATGTTTTAATAATGTTCAGCAGTCATTGTCTGTCTTGAAAGAGCATTATCTACCATAATATCATTAGTGGAATGTTTCAAGAGTTAAAGGTAGTTTAATATCTATATGAAAAAAATTTCATCATATTCGTCCAGCAGTTTTGCTTTGTAGTTTTTAAACTTCTCTGACCGCCAGATTTGCATAAGTAGATAACGCCGCGCAGGTTATTCTGTGATAAACAGAAAGACAGCAAC